AACAAAGATCGCTCAGTCATGCTCCAGATTAGCTGAATCAAAAAGATTAGAATTTAATCCAAAACAAATACAATGGTTATAAAATTCACAAACAAAGAAAGGATAGAGAAGGAGATATTAATAGGCAACCAAGTAATCAAAAAATGCACCAAATATTCATACCTAGAGGATTTAATTAATGATATAGGAGGTTATCACGATATGATGAGTCCGAACTGAAAAATGTAGGTTCATGATGAGGGAAATATTATCATGGGCAGAAGAGCACAATTATGGAAAGCATACTATAGAAGCAAGAGTGAAATTATACGAATTCAAATTCAAATTTCAAATTCCAACCTCTGTCGTCCAGTGTGCTTTTTTTGCTGAATTGTTCAATGAATGACGCACTCGTTCACTTCCGACAGCGAGTGAAAATGCAGAAAATTTTCCTCTTCGATGCGAAATGCATCGGCCGGCCATTTCATTATTTACGAAAAGTAAACAGGCTGGGGAAAGAGGAACTGGTCACGTCGGTGATGCCCCATTCATGTCCATCAACGAAGGAGGGGCTTATTCTAATTACGGAGATGCGAAAATGCAACAGAAGGACGTAGCGCAGTGCGCTAAACAGCGTGTTATTTTCATATTTGTGCCAAACTCTATCGTAGGAATTTGGAAACCGTTTTAGCCTAGCAGAATGCCCTAGTTCCTGATATCGGCGATTCCCTGCTTTAATGGTATAATACCTAAAAGTTATAATAGAGAGGTGCAGCGTAGACTGTGATTGGAAGACACAAAGTGTCAATCCTCGGTGCACCTCGGCATCATGGCCGCATCACGTCCAAAGGAGAGACTGGATACTAGAGGCGATGCGCAAAAGAGGTGTTAATCCTAACTGCCGAGCGTGGATGTTGCGCGCAGTTCCGCGGCAAGGCGCACGCGACCGCGGGAACGTGCTACGAAAGTATCAGGCGCTGGGAGCTATGCAACCGTGCGCCAAATCCATAGGCCGGCGCACGAATGCATAGCTCCCAGCGAAGAGTCTCGATTTTTGTTGTCATTTAACCTCTAAAGGACAAACGGCAACTTACCGAATCAAGTTATTTAGTGCTAAAACTCACCACGTCATTTCCAAAATGTCTCTCCGCACACACCGGCCCCGGTCATCTGCGCATGCGCGAGCATTTCCGTGTGATGCTGCCCTCTACCG